AAGAAATGAAAAATGACATTGCTACTGTAAAGAACTCAATAGAAAGCATCAAGAGTAGATTAGAAGAAGCAGAGGACCGCATCAGCGAGCTAGAAGACAAGATGGAAAAAAATACCCAATTAGAACAACTTCTGGGAAAAAAAAATTAAAAAACAGGAGGAAAGTCTAAGGGAACTTTGGGACAATACAAAATAAAACAATATTAGAATAATAGGGTTTCCAGAAGGAAAGGGAATTGAGGAAGACATGGAAAACGTATTTCAAGAAATAATGACAGAAAACTTTCCTGAGATAGAGAAGTAAAAACCCACACAAATCCAAGATGCTCGCAGAGTCCCAAGCAAAATGAACCCCAGAAAACCAACCCCTAGGCACATTATAATTAAGCTGGTAAACACCAACGACAAAAAAAGAATTTTAAAAGCAGCCAGAGAGAGACAGAAAGTTACATATAAAGGAACCCCCATCAGACTAGCAACTGATTTCTCCACAGAAATTTATCAGGCCAGAAGGGAATGGGATGAAATATACAAAGTCATGCAAAGGAAGGGTCTGAATCCAAGAATACTATACCCAGCAAGGCTATCAATCAAAAGTGAAGGTGAAATCAGGAGCTTCACAGACAAAAACAGACTAAGGGAATTTATCTCCACCAAACCAGCAATGCAAGAAATGCTAAAGGGTCTACTGTAAAATTAAAGAAATAGAAAGCAAAGAAGGAACACAGGGGTATAGAATAAAAATGGCGTCAAATAAGTATCCATAAATAATAATTTTAAATGTAAATGGACTAAATGCTCCAATCAAAAGACATAGGGTGTCGGATTGGATAAGAAAACAAGACCCATATATCTGTTGTCTACAAGAAACCCACCTCAGAAAGAAAGATGCACACAGACTGAGGGTGAAGGGATGGAAAAAGGTTTTCCAGGCGAATGGAAATGAAAAAAAAGCTGGGGTAGCAATACTTATATCTGACAAATTAGATCTCAGAGTGAAGGACATAACAAGAGATAATGAAGGCCACTTCAAAATACTAAAGGGAGCAATCCAACAAGAAGAAATAACCCTGGTAAATATATATGCACCCAACACAGGAGCACCCCAATATATAAAAAAACTGCTGGAGGACATTAAGGGAGAGATTAATAGCAATACAATTATAGTAGGAGATTTTAATACCCCACTATCACCCTTTGACAAATCATCTAAACAAAAAATCAGCAAAGAAATATCAATCCTAAATGACTCGCTAGACCAGATGGAATTAATCGACATCTTCAGAACATTCCACCCCAAAGCCACAGAATATACATTCTTCTCAAGCGCACATGGGACATTCTCAAAGATAGACCACATTTTGGGACATAGGCAAAGTCTCTTCAAATTCAAGAAGATAGAAATCATATCAAGCATCTTCTCAGATCATAGTGGCATAAAACTGGAAATTAACTACAATGAAAAAAATCTAAAGAAATCAAACACATGGAGACTAAACAGCATGCTATTAAACAAGGACTGGGTTACCAGAGAAATCAAGGAAGAAATTAAAAACATCCTGGAAACAAATGACAATGAAAACACAACTATCCAAAATCTATGGGACACAGCAAAAGCAGTTTTGAGAGGGAAGTTCATATCCCTACAAACCTATTGCAAAAAACTAGAAAAAATGGTAACAAATGATCTAACTCTACAACTCAAAGAGTTAGAAAAAGAGCAACAAGAAAAGCCCAGTGTAAGCAGAAGAAAGGAAATAACAAAAATCAGAGCACAGATAAACGACATAGAGACCAAAGAAACAATACATAAGATCAACAAAACCAAGAGCTGGTTCTTTGAAAGGATAAACAAGATAAATGGACCTCTAGCCAGGCTAACCAAGAAATAAAGAGAGAGGACCCAAATAAACAAAATCAGAAATGAAAGAGGTGAAATAACAACAGATCCCGCTGAAATACAAAGGATTGTTACAAAATACTACGAACAACTCTATTCCAACAAACAGAACAACCTGGAGGAAATGGACATATTCCTAGAAAAATACAAACTTCCAAAACTCAGTTAGGAAGAATCTAAAAATCTCAATAGAGCAGTGACTTGGGAAGAAATTGAAACAGTCATCAAAAAGCTTCCAGCAAACAAAAGCCCAGGGCCCGATGGCTTCACAGGAGAGTTTTACCAAACATTCAAGGAAGAATTAAAACCTATCCTCCTCAGACTTTTCCAAAAAATTCAAGAGGAAGGAACACTTCCAAACTCCTTCTATGAAGCCAGCATCACTCTAATACCAAAACCTGATAAAGACAACTCAATGAAAGAGAATTACAGGCCAATATCCCTCATGAATATAGATGCCAAAATCCTCAACAAAATTCTAGCAAATCGGCTCCAGCAGAGCATCACAAAGATCATACACCATGACCAAGTAGGATTTATTCCAGGAATGCAAGGTTGGTACAATATCCGCAAATCAATAAACGTGATACATCACATAAACAAATTGAAAGATAAAAATCATATAGTCATATCAATTGATGCAGAAAAAGCATTTGATAAAATCCAACACCCTTTCCTGATAAAAACTCTCAACAAGGTGGGAGTACAAAGATCATACCTCAACATAATAAAAGCTATATATGATAAACCCACAGCCAACATCATACTCAATGGGCAAAAACTAAAACCATTCCCTCTAAGAACAGGAACAAGACAGGGATGCCCACTCTCTCCACTCCTGTTTGACATAGTACTGGAAGTACTAGCCATTGCAATCAGACAAGAGGAGGAAATAAAAGGCATCCAAATTGGAAAAGAAGAAGTAAAATTATCCTTATTTGAAGACGACATGATATTGTATATAAAAAACCCAAAAGACTCCATTAAAAAACTAATTGACTTAATAAATGAATTTGGCAATGTAGCAGGATACAAAATTAATGCCAAGAAATCCATGGCATTTCTATACACCAACAGTGAATTTATAGAAACAGAGACTAAAAAAGCAATTCCATTTACCATCGCACCAAAAAAATTAAGATACCTAGGAATAAACTTAACTAAGGAAGTAAAGGACCTATACGCGGAAAACTACACGACACTGAAAAAAGAGATAGAGGAAGATGTAAACAGATGGAAGAACATACCATGTTCATGGATTGGTAGAATCAACATCATCAAAATGTCCATTCTTCCTAAAGCAATCTATAGGTTTAATGCACTCCCTATTAAAATACCAACGGCATATTTCACTGACCTAGAAAGAACTCTCCAAAAGTTCATTTGTAACAATAAAAGACCCCGAATAGCCACAGCAATCCTGAGAAAGAAGAGTAGGAGGGATCTCAATACCAGACTTCAAACTGTATTACAAAGCCACTGTTCTCAAAACAGCCTGGTACTGGCACAAAAACAGACATATAGATCAATGGAATCGGATCAAGAACCCAGATATCAATCCAAATTACTATGCTCAATTAATATTTGACAAAGGAGGCACAAATATACAATGGAATCAAGACAGTATCTTCAATAAATGGTGTTGGGAAAATTGGTCAGATACATGCAAAAGAATGAAACTAGATCACCAACTTACACCATGCACAAAAATAAACTCAAAATGGATACAGGACTTAAACATCAGACAGGAAACCATAAAAATACTAGAAGCATCCACAGGCAACAAAATTTCAGACGTATGCCAAAAGAACTTCTTCACTGATACTGCCCCTAGGGCAATGGAAGCTAAAGAGAAAATAAACAAATGGGACTACATCAAAATAAAAGCTTTTTTTTTTACAGCAAAAGAAACCATCAGCAAAACAACAAGAAAGCCCACTGTGTGGGAGAACATATTTGCAAATGTTACCAGTGATAAAGGTTTAATCTCCAACATCTACAATCAGCTTATACAACTAAATAAAGGGAAGATGAATGATCCAATTAAAAAATGGGCAATGGACCTAAATAGAATATTTTCAAAAGAAGACAGAAGGAAGGCCAAAAGGCACATGAAAACATGCTCAAAGTCACTAATTATCCGAGAGATGCAAATCAAAACAACAATGCGGTACCATCTCACACCTGTCAGAATGGCCAACATCAACAAATGAACAAACGACAAGTGTTGGCGAGGTTGTGGAGAAAAAGGAACCCTCGTGCACTGCTGGTGGGAATGCAGACTGGTGCAACCATTGTGGAGAATAGTGTGGAGTTTCCTCAAAAAACTGAAAATGGAACTCCCATTTGACCCAGTAATCCCACTCCTAGGAATATATCCCAAGAAACTAAAAACACCAATCAGAAAGGATATATGCACCCCTATGTTCATAGCAGCACAATCTACAATAGCTAGAATCTGGAAACAGCCTAGGTGCCAGTCAGCAGATGATTGTATCAAAAAACTATGGTACATCTACACAATGGAATACTATGCTGCCATAAAAAAGAAGGAATTCTCATCATTTGCAGCAACCTGGATAGAACTAGAGAACATTATGCTGTGTGAAATAAGCCAGTCAATAAAAGAGAAATACCACATGGCCTCACTCATTTATGGACATTAAAAAACATTATAAACTGACAAACCAAAAGATAGATATAGAGACAGTAAAGCAACAAGCAGACTGTAAAATTACACCAGGGAGAGTAGGGAGATCTGGGGGAGATAAGAGATCAACCGAAGGACTTGTATACATGCATATAAGTACAACTAATGGACACAAAACTCTGGAGAGGGAGGGTATGTGGGGGGGGGGGCAATGTTAAAATATGTAAACAGATAATAATTTAATAAAAAATAAAATAAAATAAAATAAAATACATATGCAGCACAAAAAAAACCAAAAAAAAAAAAAACATATGGTGCTATAGCTGAAGATATTATGAGTTATGCATAAAGTTTTTAAGAGAAGTTAATTGTATAGTGCAGGCAATATTTTTTGCCAACACCAAAGAATAAAACATTCTATGTAAACAGACGGACACACACACATACATACCTGGATGATTCAGAAGAGTATCAAGTTCTTCTTTGGCCACAACCATTCTTAATCTATCACTACTATCAATGACAAAAATAATGGCTTGTCCATCTCTGTATAATGTAAAGAATGACAAAAATTAAAAATAAACTTACACAATTTTCCATCTTTACTCTCCATTTCCATGTCATAACCTGTGTATTATCTCTTCATATCCTATGTGCATTTATCATTATAGGCACTTTGGTACTGTTTCTTATTAGTTCATATGAGTGATTATTATATTATTAGTGGTTATAATTACTTTTCACTTAGATGATAGTAGGGTATAACTTAATGACTTCATAATTTTAAAGAAATTACAAGTAAAACCACAACCCATTATATAGATATAACCATTAATTTTTTGTATAAATAAATCTCAACATGTGTGTAGTCACATATGAATATCTACATCTATACAAATGGAACCCTCTTGTTTTATACACTGCCTTTTTGACATTTATGTACATTTCCTTGACCTTTTTCACTGTATAATTTGAATCACTTTTATATGAAACATTAAAGCTCTATACTGTTTTTCAAATAATTTTTACCATAACTATAGTAAGACATACATTTTAAATTAAGATACAATAGACACATAACTATATGTAAATATATTTGGATAGGTCCCCTGAAACAATACCCTGTTTCCCTGAAAATAAGACAGTGTCTTATATTAATCTTTTCTCCCAATGTTGCGCTAGGTCTTATTTTCAGGGGATGTCTTATCTTTCCATGCGCTAGGTCTTATTTTCGGAGGATGTCTTATTTTCGGGAAAACACGGTACTTACAAATAGCTTTTATTTTATTCTATTTTATATTTTAAGCTGAGAGCTAATCACTGAACTAGTTTAAGGATTCACTTACAGATCACAGAGGCACTTCAAAAATCACTGATTCCCTCCTCACCCTTTCTTTTGATAGTTATAAAGTATTCTATGCATGATGTGCCATCAAATAATGTCAACCTTCTATCATTGGATTTACAGGTTATTTCTAATTTTCATTCTTATGAAAAACCTCAAGATAAGCATTCTTCTAAATACATTTTATAATTTCTTAATATTTTAAAGATCTGTTCTTAGGAATAAAATTTCTAGGAGTGTATATACAATGAAAAATTTTAGATAAACATTGATAAATGGACCTTCAAAAATGCTGTATCAATGAATACTACTCCCAGCATTTTTCCTACCCTCTTTCAGCATGGTCCTTATCATTCTTTTCAATTTTTGCCACTCTAACAGTATATTATTTTACTTCGTATTTCATGAATTGCTAGTGAAGTTTATTAACTTTTCATATATTTATTGGACATTGATATATTTTTTTCAATAGTGGTTACTTTTTTTAAAAAAAATATATTTTTTATTGATTTTTCACAGAGAGGAAGAGAGAGGGATAGAGAGTTAGAAACATCGATGAGAGAGAATCATCGATCAGCTGCCTCTTGCACACCCCCTACTGGGGATGTGCCCGCAGCCACGGTACATGCCCTTGACTAGAATTGAACCTGGGACCTTTCAGTCCGCAGGCCAACGCTCTATCCACTGAGCCAAACCAGTCCCGGCTGATATTTTTTTGTAAATCACTTATTCAGTCATCAATTAAGATTTTAAAGTTCAATATCATTGTTAAATCACATAAATATAAAACTAAAACAATTTAAAAAAATACTTTAAAATATATATTTGTATTTATTTCAGAGAGAAAGGGGAGGGAGAGATTTATAGAAACATCAATGATGGGAAAGAATCATTGATCAGCTGCTTCCTGCATGCCCCATATTGGGGATCTCGCCCACAAACCGGGCATGTGCCCTGACTGGGAATCAAACCATGATCTCCTGGTTCACACAACCATTGAGTCACACTGGCCGGGCTTACACAATTTTTGAATACCACTTCATCCTGTCACTTAAAAAAAATAAATGCAGATTATCATAATCATATACTACACTATTGAATATAGAAAATGGTACAACTAGAGATATTTCTTTCTTTTTTTAAAAAAAATCTTTATTGTTCATATTATTACAGATGTTCCCCTTCCCCCCCCCCCAATGCTCCCTCCACCAGGTTCCCACCCCACCCTTTGCCCTTTCCCAACCCCCCATTGTCCTCATCCATAGGTGCACAGTTTATGTTCAGTCTCTTCCCACATCCCCCTCTCCCCTTTTCCCTGAGAATCGTCAGTTCACTCCCCTTCCATACCTCTGATTCTATTATATTCAACAGTTAATATTGTTCATCAGATTTAAAAAAAATTTTTTTTTAGATTCACTTGTTGATAGTTACATATTTGTTGTTCATAATTTTTATCTTTATTTACTTTCTCTTCCAAAAGAACCCCCTTCAGCAATTCATATAATTCTGGTTTGGTGGTGGTGATCTCCTTTAGCTTTTTTTTATTAGTGAGGCTCTTTATCTGGCCTTCGATTCTGAGTGATAGCTTTGCTGGGTAGATTATTTTTGGCTGTAGGTTCTTACTATTCATCACTTTGAATATTTCTTGCCATTCCCGTCTGGCCTGCCTGGTTTCTGTTGAGAAATCAGCTGACAATCGTATAGGTGCTCCTTTATACGTAACTACCTTCTTTGCTCTTGCTGCTTTTAATATACTCTCTTTGTCTTTTGCTCTTGGGATTTTAATTATGATGTGTCTTGGTGTGGTCCTCTTTGGATTCCTTTTGTTTGGAGTTCTGTGTGCTTCCTGGACTTGTAAGTCTAATTCTTTCACCAGGAGGGGGAAGTTTTCTGTCACTATTTCTTTCAGTATGTTTTCGATATCTTGCTCTCTCTCATCTTCTGGGACCCCCATAATTCTGATGTTGTTTCGTTTGAAGTTGTCCCAGAGGTTTCTTACATTATCTTCAACTTTCTGGATTCTCTTGCCTTCTTGCTTCTGCAGAGGAGTGTCTTCTGGCTCTTTATGCTTCAAATCTTTGACTTGATTCTTGAGATCTTCCATTCTGATTTTAGGACTCTGTATAATATTTTTTATTTCAGACAATGTATTCTTTATTTCTTGTTGATCCCTTATTATTTCTAGTTGACCCCTTTTCATATCCTCATAGGTCTCATTTATTTTATCGGCCTTTTCTAGGAGATTCTTGAAAAACCTTATAACCATGGTTTTGAACTCTATATCCAGTCGCTTTTTGTCCTCCATTTCTTTCATTTGTGATCTATTTCATTGTCTCGGCATTTTCGCAGTTCCCTGATGGGGCGGAGTTTCAGGGTGGAGCCTACTGCCTTGGCTTCCGTCAGCCATGCCTTATGCAACTCCTGAGTCTCAGTATTCCTCAGGGTCCTTCAGTACTCGCTGCAAGCACCTCTGAGAGTGAGGTGCCCTCGAGTTTCACCTGCTACCAAACAGTCTAGTCTCTCCCCCAATGGGCCTGGAACTGGGGTTCAACTGATTGGAGGTGTTGTTTAGAGCAGTCTGGAGCCCCTGTCTCCTTCCCGCCAGGGCAATTCCGCGGCACAGTCAATCGTCCCTTCTCTGCGTGCAATGTGCGCGCCTCCGGGGGTTCTGCCTTTCGCCGCTCCCCTGGGGTTCCGCCTCACAGCCCCGGCTCCCTCTGTTTGAGCCTGGGTCCCCAGGGTCTGGCCTAGAACTGGGGTTCAGAGCAGTCGGAACTGGGGCTCAGCACAGTCCGGAGCTTTTATCTCCTTCCAGCTAGGGAACGCCAGCCAGGCACTCAGCCTCCCCCTCCTCTCCGGCTCCGTCCTCTCCGCGCTCCGTGTGTCTCCGTACCTTAGGCTTTTACAGCTCCTCTGCTCTTCCTTCTGGTTTTCTCCTTACTTCTCATTGTAGAATTTCTAGTCAGTCGACTTTCCTGTAGTTCTGGGTAATGCCCATTTTATATTTTAGTTGTATTTTATTGAAATTGTTGTGTGCGGCTGCAGTTTAGGTGTTTACCTGTGCAGCCATCTTGGATCCTCTAGAGACATCTTTCAAGAGCTTTAAAGATGGTCAATCACTTTGAGATAGTAATTTAATTTTTGGTATTTACTCTATGTAAAACCAAAGTGTGACAAAGATTTATGCACTAAGATGTTAATTGAGGGATTGTTTATTATCTTCAAAAACTGTTTATCTTCCTAACCAAATAAAAAAACAATTGAGCAAATTTTGGCACAAACATATGAATAACATTAGGCAGCCATTAGAGTTACAATCTTTGTGTGTTTTTCCTGATTTCCCTTATAAAATGTTAACTGAAAAAGGACAAAAACAAATGTATGGTATATAATATTAGAAGGCTACTTTCTCAATTATGTAAAGTGTACATTGTATATTTTGAAAACAATCTTTTAAATCTTTCAGTCTAATAGCTCAAAATGCACTTGTTCTCTAATAATTAGAAAAGTATAGACACACAAAAAATAAAATTACTAAAGTTGATAGTAACCATTTCACTATTTAACCTACAATTTATCTTTAATATTCATGAATCCAATAACTTCTTCCAAAAAAATATTGAAGCGAGTTAATAAAAAAAGTTACATTGTTTTAAAGTACTATTTTACATGTATTTGTTTTCCTTTTTATAAAGTAATTAGAAAAATTATTTTAAAAAAATTAGCTAAAGTAAACACATTTTAAAAATATTTTATTTTTTAGAGAAAAAGAGGAAGGGAGAGGGAGAAAAACATCGGTATGAGAGTGGAACATTGACTGACTGCCTCCTGCATCCTGGGGATTAAGACTGCAACCTGGGCATGTGTCCTCACTGGGAATCGAACCAGTAACCTTGCTGCATGGGATGATGCCCAACAAACTATGCCACACTGGCCAGGGCAAATACATTAATTTTAAAAAGAATTTTTCTAAAACCACTAATTGGAGCAAGAATTAACATTTCTATATTGAAAACTCGGGGCTCTTAAAAAAAAAAAAAAAAGCAACTCATTCCCCCAGGAAATTTAATGTAAGATACCACAACATGCCACTTTCCCTTTTCCAAACTGACCCTCAGATTGGAAATACACTTTTCCCTCTATCTCAGAGGTCCTCTGGATCAATATTTGATTTAAAGAGGACTTCAACCTATTAAAATAATCATTGAAAAAAATATCTGAAGTAAATATTCTGGGTTCCTATCTGAGAAATAAAATATTTGTTCCCATAGTAGCAGGAAAAATTAACCAATCTAAATCAAAATCTGATCTGGCAGTCATCACACACTATTACAAGACAAGTGTTCATAAGAGGCATTTAGTCAAGATATACTGCTTATAAGTTTCAGATTCTAAAAGTGAGTTATAATGCCTTTAAATGAAGAGTCCTAGTAATATTAGAAGTTAATAAATTCATTTTTACACTGAATAGAAACCTTGAGAGGTTGTAAGACATCTGGATGCTAGTAACTTGACAACTGTTAATCTAATGTGAGTAGCAAGTGCTTAATTTGCATATGCTGAAAAATATCTTTAGAATTGCTTATAGCACCAAAACCCGTTTGGCTCAGTGTATAGAGAGTGTCGGCCTGCGGACTGAGGGGTCCCAGGTTCGATTCCGGTCAAGGGCATGTACCGTGTTTGCGGGCACAGCACATCCCCAGTAGGAGGTGTGCAGGAGGCAGCTGATCGATGCTTCTCTCTCATTGATGTTTCTTTCTTTTTCTTTTTTAAAATATATTTTATTGATTTTTTACAGAGAGGAAGAGAGAGGGATAGAGAGTTAGAAACATTGATGAGAGAGAATCATAGATCAGCTGTCTCTTGCACACCCCCTACTGGGATATGTCCGCAAACAAGGTACATGCCTTTGACCAGAATCGAACACGGGACCTTTCAGTCCGCAGGCCTATGCTCTATCCACTGAGCCAAACCGGTTTCGGCTCTCATAGATGATTCTAACGCTCTGTCCCTCTCTCTTCCTCTCTGTGAAAAATCAATAAGATAATAATAATAAAAAAGAATTGCTTATAGAATAAATGGGTCAAGAGTACTGTTATTTTAACTAAATTTATTCAATAAATATTTACTGATGCATACAACCACCATTATACTTGGCCTTGAAGAAATAATCTGACTGAAAAATAATCCCTGCCCTTGAAGAGGAGTTGACAAGACTTTAAGATGTAATAAGTGTGATTACAGAGATGTGAAACTACTGTGTGAGGACTGGGACAGAATAACTGGGCAAAATAGTGAAAATTCACAGAGGAGGGGACTTTTGAACAAGTTCTTAATGCAAGGGTGGGGAACATTTGGCCTGCTGGCTGAATAATGCTCGGAAAGTCATTTGGTCTGGCCTTGTCAAGGCATGAGGGGCGAGTTAATTAAATGTCTGACCAAATATAGCAGGCTAATTTTTAAGTTAATAATTTTGTATGATCTGGGAATGATGCTATAAATATCCAAATGGCACTTGGCAGATAACAGGTTCTCCATCTCTGCCTTAAAGTATGACTATATTAATCTTAAGCAGCAGAGTAGAGTAGAACTAGGTGTTAAAGACAGAACAGCCCTGATTGGTATGGATCAGTTGGTTGAGCATCATTTGTGCACCAAGAGGTTGCTGGTGTGATTCCCAGTCAGGGCACCTGCTGGGGTTGAAGGCTGGATCTCTAGAAGGGGGCATGCTGGAGACAGCCGATCAATGTTATGTTCTCAAAACAATGTTTCTCTCTTGTCCCTTCCTCTCTCTCTAAAAAAATCAATAAACTATTTTTTTTTTTTTGGGGGTTTGTTTTGTTAATCCTCACTTGAGGATATTTCCCCATTGATTTTTTAGAATGAGAGAAGGAAAGACAGAGAGAAACATTGATGTGAGAGACACACATCAATTGGTTGCCTCCTGCATGAGCCCTGACCAGGGTCTGGGCCAGGGAAGAGACTGCAACCAAGTTACATGCCCTTGACCGGAATTGAATCTGGGACTCTTTGGTCTGCAGGCTGATACTCTCTCTGCCCTCAAACCAGCGAAGGCAATAAACAATATAAAAAAAAGTATGTATCTTTATTGATTTCAGAGAGGAAGGGAGGGAGAGATAGAAACATCAATAATGATAGAGAATCATTGATTGGCTGCCTCTTGCATGCTGCACTGGAGATGGAGCTCACAATCAGGGCATGTGCCCTGACTGGGAATTGAACCCTGACCTCCTGGTTCATAATATGACGCTCAATCACTGAGACATGCCAGCTGGGCCAATAAACCATTCTTTAAAAAATGAGAGAGAGAGAACATCACATGCAAAAGTACAAAGTTATAAAAGATTTCATGCATATCCTACATAATAAAAGAGTGATATGCAAATTAACCATCACTATGCTACATCAACCAGCCCACCAGCCAATCAGAGCAAGTATGCAAATTAACCCCCAACCAAGATGGCTGCAGCCACAGAGAGCAGTTGAGAGGCTTGGGTTTCCCCGGCAATAGAGGAAGCCAAGCTTTCCACACACCCTGGCAGGCCTAGGGCTCCACTCCAGGCTACAAAGTTTCAATTATAGAAGGTAAACAAATTCAAACAGAAATGGCGGCAACTACCGAGTGAGAGCAGGGTGCTTGGCTCTGCTCCAGTCTACAAAGTTTCAATTGTAGAAGGTAAATAAATCCCAGATACCAGGGCCTCCACTTGGGTCACCAGGGGGTGTGGCCGGCCTGCAAACCACCACAGGCCCCTCGCCCAGGCTGCCCCACACCCCAAGGGAACCCCCACCCTGATCCAGGACACCCTTCAGGACAAACCAGCTGGCCCCCACCCATGCACCAGGCCTCTATCCTATCTAATAAAAGTGTAATATACAGATTGACCATCACTCCAACACAAGAAGATGGCTGCCCCCATGTGGTCAAAGATCCTGCCCCCATATGGACACAAGATGGCCACCAGGGAAGGGCAGTTGGGAGGCACCAAGCTTGCAAGGGAGGGCAGTTAGGGGTGACCAGGCCAGCAGAGGAGGGAAGTTGGGGGCAAACAGGCTGGTAGGGTAGCAGTTAGACATCAATCAGGCTGGCATGGGAGTGGTTAGGGGGTGACCAGGCTGGCAGGCAGAAGCGGTTAGGGGCGATCAGGAAGGCAGGCAGGTGAGCAGTTGGGAGCCAGCAGTCCTGGATTGTGAGAGGGATGTTCTCTCACCAGGATCGGGTCTAAATGGGCAGTTGGACATTCCTGGAGGAATCCCAGATTGGAGAGGGTGTAGGCTGGGCTGAGGGACATCACCCCCCAACACCACCCCGTACACGAATTTCGTGCACCGAGCCTCTAGTGAGAAAAAAGTATGACTGTCCTTTTTATAAAATTAGAAAATGCACCAAATTATATAAAAAATAAACACTGAAACCTAGTCCATGTGATCACTTGGATTTCTAATCATTATTTGTTATTATGTTATACCCATCTAATTAACCAAACTTTACTATTATACTTACTTATAATAGTGTTCCCAGAGGTTTCTATATCTTCCTTGACCTGACATGTCAAACACTGTAAAAGACAAACTAAAACAAACAAACAAACAAAACAACCATGACTATATTATCAGTTACTAACTTTAAAGTATAACTTTTACTTAAACTTTTAAATTGCTTTCAATAAAAGAAACCACTCTTGAGCCTTGACCGGTATTGCTCAGTTGGTTGGGCGCCCTCCTATGCCCTGAAAGGGTGCTGGTTCGATTCCCAGTCAGGTCACACGTCCTAGTTGTGGGCTCAATCCCTGGTAGAGGGTGTGTAGGAGGCGGCCGTTCAATGGTTTGCTCTTACATTGGTGTTTTTCTCTCTCCCTCCCTTTCCCTCTAGAAATCAATAAAAAAAAAATCTTAAAAACAACATCATAGAAATCATTCTTTAATATATAATATTCAACTTGGGCCAATTTTCAAGTATAAATGCTATTAAATAAATTTGTTCAATAGAAATATGATTTTGTGGTGAGTAAAATAAAATGAAATATTTTCTTTGCTAGTGAGGTTATCAACATTTGTCTAAAGTCTAAATTCTAAAAAATAATCCAGAGGTAGTAGTATAAATATTTTAACACCTATGGACTCCTGAAAAAACAAAGTACTTTTTCTAAGAGTAGATTAGAAAGGTCTAATATTAGTATAATTTTACCCACAGCTTCTTAGTCACAAATATAATAAAGTGAATTACCTGGATGATTTGAATTTCTCTATGCTGAATCCTATTGTTGGAACTATATCTTGAGTTTGAGCCTTTAAGACAAGAAAAGACAAAGCTTAAAAATTTGCAATTATCAAAGATGAATTTTTTTTGTCTCAAGTTAAAAAAGAGCATCCAGGTTTTCCAATTCTAAAAATATGTTACTAAACAAATGGCAGGTTTTGTAATGGGATCACTGGGGATAAATTCTTTATGGAAGTTGAAGGTTTATTAATTATGAATTTTTATGACATGTATTAATTCACATTTTGTGGCTTGCTGCAAGTTAAAATGTACTTAAAGTGGTTTGACAAGTCATGCTGAGTTCACTTATAGGATTTTCTAATCTTTCTATACATACTTACTGAGTTTACATACACTATGGAAAAATTGTCCTCATATCTGGATGATATACATAGTCCCTGCTCTCATGGAATTTATAATCTAGAGGACTGGTGCATGAAATTCATGCATGGGGGCTGGGGGGCAGGTATTGTCCCTCAGTCCAGCCTGCACCCTTTCCAATCTTGGATCCCTCTCACAATCCAGGACTGCTGGCTCCCAACTGCTCACCTGCCTGCCTTCCTGATTGCCCCTGCTTCTGCTTGCCAGCCTCATCACCCCAACTATTCCCATGCCAGCCTGACTGATGTCTAACTACTCCTCTGCCAGCCTGTTTGCCCCCAACTTCCATCCTCTGCTGGCCTGGTCTCCCCTAACTGCCCTCCACCGCAGGCTTGATTGCCTTCAACTGCCTCCCTTGCAGGCCTGGTCCCTCCCAAATCCCCTCCCCTGTTGACCATCTTGTGTCCACATAGGGGCAGGATCTTTGACCACATGGGGGCAGCCAAACTGTATGTTGGAGTGATGGTCAATCTACATATTACTCTTTTATTAGATAGGATAGAGGCCTGGTGCCCGGGTGGGGGCCAACTGGTTTTCCCTGAAGGGTGTCCCGGATCAGGGTAGGGGTTCCCTTGGGACGTGGGGAAGCCTGAGCGAGGGGCCTATGGTGCTTTTCAGGATGGCCACGCTCCCCCAGAAACCCTAGTGGAGGCCCTGGTATCTGGGATTTATTTACCTTCTACAATTGAAACTTTGTAGCCTAGAGAGGAGCCAAGCCTCCTGCTCGCTCCATGGTCAGCAGCTATTTCTATTGGAATTTAAGTATCTTCTCTGAAATTTTGCAGCCTAGAGTGGAGGCCTGGGCTGGCTAGGGAGTGCGGAAAGCTTTGCTTCTTCCATTGCTGGGGCAAACCTAGTCTCCCACTCTTTCCAACTCCATGGCTGCTGCCATTTCTGTATGGATTTGTTTACCTTCTATAACTGAAACTTTGTAGCCTTGAGTGGAGGCTTAGGCTGGCAAGGGCAGGCGGAAAGCTTGGCTTCTTCCATTGCCGGGGAAACGCCCCCCTCCTGCTCTCTGTGGCTGTAGCCATCTTGGTTGGGTTAATTTGCATACTCGCTCTGATTGGCTGGTGGGCGTGGCTTGTGGAGCAGAATGATGGTGATTTGCATATTACTCTTTTATTAGGAAGGATAATTAGTGTCTAGTATTTTTCTTATGAAGTGCCTAGTATCCTTCCAAAAATATCTTTCTTTTTGTTGATAATGTTGGACAGAATTCATTTCCTGCTAAATAAATAATTAAGTTACAGACAAACACAATTTCGGGCAACAATTAAGTGCAATGAGGTATTTGGGGTGGGAGGCAATGGGGCAGAGGTGTTTATGAGGCATGGAAAAGGGGTGCCCAGGAAAAGCTTCTCTGAGGAGGTGACATCTTACCAAAGAGTGAATATCAAGAAGAGGAAAAGTTATGACAAGATCTTGGCAAAGAGCATTACAGTGAAATGATCCTAAGATAGAAAGGAACTTACCACTTGGAAAAAGTAGAAAGCCTTTATGTCTTAGGCATATTACGTTAGAGAAAGAGCTGTATGTAACAAAGTAAGGAAGGTATGGCCTTGAAAACCACGATAAGGAATTCTTTGTGGAGGAGAGACTGCAGGTGGGCAAGAGTATAGCAGAAGACCCACTGATAAGTCCCACAGGCAAGTACGGTAACATGCCTTACTGTATACTGGTAACTTAACAGTGTCTCCTATCATTTCCACCATCAAAACTGTTCCTTACTTTGATTAAAAATCATCCACCTTCTGATCCAGATGTCCAGAAGTTATTCTTGACTCTATTCTTTTTTATATTCTTTATATAGCTATTCAATAAGCTTCATTAGTTCCATCTTATTAACTTAGGTCAGACCCTTATAATTTCTTGCTTTGAATTATTATAACAGCCTCCTAATTACTAATTGCTAATAAGCTACCTTACTTAATTTCTCTAAGCCTTAGTTTTCTCAAATTTAAAATATATTATCCTTAACTAATAGTTATCATGAAAATTAAACGCGTTAATGGATGTACTCAACAGTGTCTGGTCCATAGCAAATACTCAGTGAATGTTTGCTGTTATTATAATTACTCTCACTGATTTTATTCTTGCCCCAATTTTCTCCATATTCCCATAAGTAGAACTTAAAAAAAAAATCCCCCTTCAGTTTTATCTGATTGCTTTTATGTGAAAACAGGAAGAATAGAGAAGAAATTGTTGCCTCACATCATTAAAATGGAAAGACAGAAACGGCAAAGTTACTGGAGCTCGGTCCCTTCCATGGGACCAATGTGCTAGTGAAAAGGCCTTCTCAGAGCTACCTTGGTTTTGCCTTTCTGAGTTTGTTTATTCAGCCTGTCCTTCCTTCTTATGAAGTGCCTCGTATTCTTCCAAAAATATCTTTCTTTTTGTTTATGATGCTGGACAGAATTCATTCCCGCTACTCAGATTCATGCCTCATACTTTCATTGCACAACAGATTTGGAATAGCCTCCTAATTTTTTATTGCTCCCAATTACCCCACTGTTTTGATCTTAAAGGTTTCGTGTACCAATCTTGTGATAAAATCATCTGCTATTATTATTAGGAAAAACATACCAATAATAAAAAAAAAGTGAGGAAGTTAAAAGATTTAAGATATCTCTGGAAATTGAAGCCTTGCCCAGCTTCTACACAAACTCTTTTGTTCCCAGAGAAGCTTCTTTTTAACTTGCTGTTTTACTTACTAGGGATAAAATTAATCAACTTTGTCTTCCTCCTCTCACTTCTAAAGTTTTAATGGAAGATAATTAGAAAGAAGAAACTCCAAAAAATTAAGCATGATGGAACGAGGTATGTAAGCAGATGCTTCTATATTCAAGTGGGATTTATTTTTCTCTAAAGAATTTCAAAACATAGTCTCCAACATTACTCTTCCTCTGCTCTATCCAGGAACAAATGAATTTCAGTCATTCTCAAAATTGACAGGGAATGGCACAAAGTCACAAAGAGCATAGGCATTATTACCTAAGAGGGACAGACCACTGAGGGCTGAGACAGCCCAGGGATAGACCAACATCAAGGAGAGAATGACATTTCTGAGAGAGATTCTATTTGGTAAGTTGCAGTAAGTCTAGTAAAATTTATATTCTTGGTGCCATTAATCATCATTACCTGCCTAAAAATGAAAATGAAAAAAAAAAAAAAAATCAGCTATCAATCTGTTTGTCCAAAACTATACTTAAGTGCCAAGCAATATTCTAAGGATTCAGTGTTAAACAATATAAGATCCATGCTCTTATGGAATTTAAATTTAAATTTATGGAGGAAATTTAGTAAACAAGTTACCAACTGAAAATGCAAGATAATTTTAGATTATTTTAAATGCTAAGAATATAAAACTGGAAGATGTAGTAGAATGAAAGTATGTTATGTTGAGAATGAAAGATAAAACAGGAATTTTAAAAGAAATGTGTTTATAGAGTGCATCTATCTCTAAGAAATGTAGCTAAGACCACATTCTTTTTTTTTTTTAAATATATTTTATTGATTTTTTACAGAGAGGAAGGGAGAGAGATAGAGAGCTAGAAACATCGATGAGAGAGAAACATCGACCAGCTGCCCCCTGTACACCCCCTACTGGGGATGTGCCCGCAACCAAGGTACATGCCCTTGCCCAGAATCGAACCTGGGACCTTTCAGTCCGCAGACCAATGCTCTACCACTGAGCCAAACTGGCTTCGGCTAGGACCACATTCTTGAGAAGAATAATCAGGTTAAAATGTACCCCCTTTCTCCCTATTCATCAGTTTAGAAAACACCAGCAACCTCAATATATAAACAATACATCAGCATCAGGATGGCTTAATATTAAAAATCAGTTTGGGTCTAGAAGTATTTACTTATCTAGAAAATGACTTTATCCACAAAAAGTCCAATACTTTATTGTAAAGTATTGGACTACTTTACAATAAAATGAGATTTGTAATTTTTCTTTGTAGCACATTTCTGATACAGTATTGTAGATTTCTATAATTCACTTAAGTTATTACAAATAATGTTTCTAAAACTAAACTCACAAGAGGCTCTTCCTTGGTTGAAAGGTAGGGAGGAAGCGAGTGTTGTATCTATACCTGTGTGACAGAGATTTGGGGGTCTTTAAGAAGTCCCATTTCAAGCAACTTACTCTGCTCTCAGACTAGAGGTCAATTTTTCTGAAGAAAAAGGATAGTTGCTAGTTCCATAATTTACCAGAGATAACACTGGCTGTGTACCCAGATTTCCCTTGAGGCTCTCACTAATGTGGTGTATAAATGAGAATATCAGAACATTTCAAGATGACATATCGGGTACATGCTGTTTCCTTCCTCTTCTATCCCAAATCTCTAGAAATGACAGAATAAGTTATAAAAACAAATTCTCAAGTTAAAAAATAAGAGCAAGTGTCTTCAAAGGACCAATAATGTTTAGGGAAAAAGCTATTCCCATCCATATCAAAGATTATTCCTATGGTAATAACCATGTCTTGGATTAGAAATCAATATACTTTGGGAATGATAAAGGAACACACTATAATTTCTATTTTTTTCTTTGAATATTATTTCTCTCAATTTGAGTATAGTAGACACTTGGGGTTGGTCCATTGGGGGGCTATTCACTGTGGCTCTGGTTTTAATCATTTTGTACTTATAAGACAATTTTTAAAAAAATTTCCTTGAGGCCAGTTGAGTATGGTTCTGCTTTTTATTTTTTATTTTTTTACCATACATCCAATATTCTCTCAATTCAATTCTGGATCCCATTCAATTAGATAGAATGCTATATCTTCCTCTTAAAGACTGATAAGAAATTTCTTATAATCACCTAGGTCAGAAGACAGATTCCATGTATGTTGGCTTTTTAACCTGTTCTATTCCTTACTGGGGAAGAATCTTCTTTTCCCTGTTTCCATATAGAGAATACTCCATGACAATGAGATTCCTAGTTTCTATATCTCCCCACCTCAATTTATTTCTCTCCATGACTTCTTTGCTCAATTTGTAAAATGGAACTAAATATCCTTGGTTCTGTCTGTCTGTCTGTCTATCTCATTTGAGAGCCACATGCTTTTGCCAAGCACGCATTCTCACCTGTTCCTAGCTATGCGGTAGACCTAGAAGAACTAGATCCTTCCTTAAGGAGGAAACATTGAACGTTTAGAAGGCTAAATTTCAATTCAAGAGAGTTTAGCAAGTCCTCTGGCCAGACTTAAACTTTGCCCTCCAAAATCAATCTTTTCAATAAAGCTGGTATTTTTTATTTTATTATTATTATTATTATTATTTTTTTTACCTCTGCCTAATTTCAGCATGTTTATCTCAATAATTCCCAATTCAGCTGGGAAGTCCCCTTAAAACATCTATATTACCTACCAAATCCATTTTCAGCTTCTTATCCCAGCTACTTCAAACTAATTCCCACCTGAAAATATACCAGTTAGTTATTTTTAAATGGCAAACTCATCTATGTAGAAATAGGGAATAATGACCAGAAGAAAAGAAATAATGGCATTTTCTTAATTCCAAAGCAATCTCCAACTAAACAGAAGTAAAACTGAAGTTGCTGCAAAAGAAAATGGAGCAAGAAGTCATTCTACCCAACCTGAAGCACTATTTGGGGGCAGTGAAGTCTACCTTTAAGCACCATATTTAGGGGCAACATCCTCACTGTCTAGTCATTCAACCATTAAGAGTACCAGGTTCCTAATGTTTGCACTATCTGGACAGTCCAAGTTATCCTTTCATTCAACTAATGGTTTAAGTGAAATTAATTGACTAATAGTTTTTATCGAAGTAAAAGTATTTATAACTGTAAATGTTGGCTGTCTTCCCAATATCCATTTCCCCCTTCTCCTAAACTTACAGGACCCCTATTATTTTTAAAAGCAGTAATATATGTTCTACTTAAAAGATTCAGCCTTGCCAAAACCAGTTTGGCTCAATGGATAGAGCGTCGGCTTGGGGACTGAAGGGTCCCGGGTTCGGTTCCGGTCAAGGGCATGTACCTTGGTTGCGGGCGTACCCCAGTGGGGGGTGTGCAAGAGGCAGCTGATCAATGACTCTCTCTCATTGATGTTTCTGACTCTCTGTCTCTCTCCCTTCCTCTCTGTACAAAATCAATAAAATATTAAAAAAAAAAAAAAAAAAAAAAATCCAGCCTTATTTACAGAAAGGAGTAGCCAGTGAGGCCTGAGAGTCTTTAGTTGGAGGTCTGGGTAAGTTCTTCCAAGAAGGCTTATTCAGGAAGGAGGCCTATTCGTTTGTCCTGTCCTTTCTCCTCTTGGTGACTTAGAATACAGATAAGATAGTTAACCAAAGGGACCATGTGGAGATCTTGAGGATGAAAACCAGGCCCTAAAAATAGGAGAGCAGGAAATGGAAGGTACCATGTACCTGCCATCCCTGCCCTGGAATACCTCCTCTGCACTTGTTTAGATGACAGAAAAAGAAGGCTCTGTTTTATTTAGTCCACTATTATGTGGGTTTTCTTTATATGTAGCAGAAACTAGCTTTAACGTATGTGTCATGTGGTAAATGTGCTAGCTTTACATAGTTTTCAATTATTAAAACAATAAACTTACACACTTATTACTTAAATGACTTAGAAGTCATTTTGCTTATTACTACCAATATGCACACCATACTCATGGGAAACTGCCTTATTATCCACAGAACCTGTGAAAATTATTCACCTTTCCTTTTGTTTTGCTCTTCTTATAAAGAGAGAGCCAAAAAGACAGCAAGACTAGCTAAAAGTAAACTGGACAAAAAGACATTTGAAAAATATACCAGTTTAAATAATCAAGATTTACCTATATACCTGGGGAAAATATACTGCAAACGATGGCTTACTGATACTTATTACTTTACTTTACGTAATAAGTTACCCACCCCTACTGTTAAGAGGGTTTCATAACATGACTACATGAAGTTATAAGGGCAAAATGATTTTGCATTTCAACTTTCTCTAGAAAATACATAAAACATCTAACAAAGACCTTACGTTTGAAGGTTTGAGCTTGTTGATGATGGTTGTTTTGCCGCTGTTATCCAGCCCAAGGCACAGGACGTGCACTTCCTTCTTCTTCAGGCCCAGCAGCCCTGAAAGTCTGTCTAGCAATCCCATAATGCGATTCAGATATTTACAAACCAGCTGCAAGCCAGGAAAAAAGATACGTTACCCACAGGCACATTAAGTATGGAAAATAGGAGCATCTACATAAAAATTTAATAATATAAAGACACAATGATGTGAAAACCATGTCAATGTGGCTTTGCATTTAGTACACAGAGTATAAGCTGATTACCAGAAAGGAGCCTGAACTGACAATGCAGATCGGCAGCTTATAACCCCTGGCAACAGAGAATAATGCCCTTGAAATGGCTGTACATTTATCATTGTAATTTTATAATATTTAAGAAGAAATCGTGGTTAAACTCAGTACCTGTGGAGTCCACCGTTTGTGATACATGAAAATATCTGCAGCCTTTTCTGGAAATGTGGAACAATGTATGGCAATGGGGTTCATGGCAGGGGTGGGGAACCTTTCTCTGCCAAGGACCATTTCAATATTTATAACATCATTCAAGGGCCATACAAAATTATCAACTTAAAAATTAGCCTGCTATATTTGATTAAACATTTAACTAACTCACCCCAGACCAAATGATTTCTTGGACCTTATACAACCTGCAGGCCGATGTTTCCCACCCCGAATGTGGAGCCTAAGGCTGAAGCTTAGAAGTAGGAGGGAGGCAGACAGAGAGAGAGAGAGAGAGAGAGAGAGAGAGAGAGAGAGAGAGAGAGAGAGAGAGGGAACAAACTCCAGCCAATGTGGATCAGTTGGTTGGAGTGTCGTACACTGAAAGGCGGTGTGTTAAATTCTGGGTCAGTGCACTTTCGGGAGGCAACTGATTGATGTTTCTCTCTCTCACATAGATGTTTTTTCTCTCTCCCTCTCCTTTCTAAAATCAATAGAAAACGTATCTTTGAGTGAGGATTAAAAAATATATATATATATTTTTTGCCCTAGCCTGTTTGGCTTAAACTCTAAGCCTTTAGAGTAGGGGTGTCGAACTCAATCAGAGAAGGGGCCAAAATCTAAAATCCAGCCTAAATCGCGGGCCGAATGGTTTACTGAACAGTCATAAACTGTCATTGTGATGGAAACGCAGCGGAGTGCAGTGATGACAGCGTGGTGCGGGCCACATTGCAAGGCCTGGCGGGACGGATTTGGCCCGAGGGCCTTGTGTTTGACACATGTGCTTTAGAGCATCAAAAAGGAATTCGGGTTTGAGTCCGGTTACTTACCTCGGTTGCAGGCTTGATGAGGCAAACAATCGATGTGACTCTGACATCGATATTTCTCTCTGTCTCACCCCTCCCTTCCACTCTCTAAAAATCAATGGAGAAACATCCTGGGGTGAGGATTAACAACAACAAACCTCACCCATCCCACCCCTTACCCCCTCCCCCCCAAAAAAAGGGAAGGAAAAAAAGAAAGAAAACATTGAGACTCTGGCTACATCATTTGAACCCACTGGCTAAATCTTTTTCTGAAGCCAGCTCCAATGTTTTATTTTGCAAGAATATGAAGTAATAAATATTAAATTCATGTTTTTGTTTGTTTGCTTAATTATATTCAGTTTAGGTTATACTTTCTATCATTATAAACAAATAATTCTGATATATAAGATGTCCTCCCAAAATGTCTATACAAACCTTGAATAATTATAAAGGCAGTGTTTATTAAAATACATTTCATTTTCACTCAGCTGGTATGGCTCAGTGGTTGAGAGCTGACCCATGAACCACTAGGTTACTGGTTCGATTCCCGGTCAGGGCACATGCCCAGGTTGTGGGCTTGATCCCCAGTAGGGGAAATGCAGGAGGCAGCCAATTAATGATGTTTCTATCTCTCTTTTCCTCTCTCTCTTCCTCTAAATAAAAACATATTAAAAAATACATTTCATTTTCAAACTGAGCTATCAGCTGTTTAAATGTATATAAATTTTTTGGACATTTTGTGTTTATCTTAATTTTTCCAGTCCTTACAGGCATCTCTGGTAAGTCAATACAAATTCATTTAGGAAGTTTATGCATAATATATACACATGTGCGAACACTCACACAATTTTATCAATCCTTAATAAATATCTGTTTTCTTAAACTGTAATGTCTGAAGTAGCCTGTTAAAGTAGTATTTTAAGAAAGTAAATACTGATCTTAGATTTTAATCTAGCTTTCTTAAATATTGTAAAAGTTTCTTTAACTCATCCCTGACGTGTTCATTTGTTTATTAATTCATTCTTTGGGGGGGAAAAATCCTTCCAATGTAAACCTTAAAAAAATCCCCATTAGAGCCGAAACCGGTTTGGCTCAGTGGATAGAACGTCAGCCTGCGGACTGAAAGGTCCTGGGTTTGATTCTGGTCAAGGGCATGTACCTTGGTTGCTGGCACATCCCCAGAAGGGGGTGTGTAAGAGGCAGCTGATCAATGATTCTCTCTCATCGATGTTTCTAACTCTCTATCCCTCTCTGTAAAATATCAATAAAATATATTTTAAAAAATCTCCATTAGAAATCCAAACAGAAGTATTTTGAAGCCAAATAAAACGGCTGATAACATTGCTTACTACATGGTAAGCATGTTCATATCCTTCTAAGGTCCTGTCCAATTTAGATGTTAGGTTTCCAAATGAAACTTCCCAAAGGTGTTCCCTTTAGGTCCGTCCAAACAGTATTATGTGGGTAGGAGAAGAAATACATTCCTTTGACAGCCCTCAACTGCTATGGGGACTGCTATAGCAGTAACTATAATACACCGGTGTTTCAACTATTTCCTATTACTCTCTGGACCATGATTTTTAAAGTTCTCTGAATATCAACCTCATTTATTTTATTCTCACTTTCATCTAAGGTTCCAGAAGCCTGTCACCTTGCAGCTCCTTCAGTATTTTTTATCCCACACCATCCCAGGCCAAGTCACACCTCAAAGGATCTGAGGTTCCAGCAACTTAAATCCTAAAGGCTCCCAAGACAACCACATTCGAAAGGAGGCTGCATCATCAGTTTTGCTCAGGACCCTTGGGAGATCATTATGGACAGAAGTTTCAAAATGGGATTCTAATAACGTGTAGGAAAAAGAGGTGCAGTGACCCATCTGAGCATGGGGACTTATAAAAGAGCCCCAGTTGCCTTACCCAAGGAATGGGGCTGATGTCAGGTATTCCCTCTGTCCCACTTCCATTAATTTTTCTCCTCGTGTTGGAGATTTAAATTTCTTTCAATCTATTCCTTTTCATCTCAGCTTAAGGATAAGCATTTGCAGAATCTACTTTAAGCTAGCCTTTTGATATCATAAAACAATTCACAATTTTATTTATTTTTTATTTTTTTAAATATATTTTATTGATTTTTTACAGAGAGGAAGGGAGAGAGCTAGAGAGCTAGAAACGTCGATGAGAGAGAAACATCGACCAGCTGCCTCTTGCACACCCTCTACCGGGGATGTGCCCGCAGCCAATGTACAGGCCCCTGACCGGAATTGAACCTAGGACCTTTCAGGCCGCAGACCGACGCTCTACCACTGAGCCAAACCGGTTTCGGCCAATTCACACAATTTTAATTGAAAGTAAATTTGCTATAATTCACTTTGTTGTTTATTGTAGTAAATAAAACACGGACATAAAGACATACATATATAGCTTTCCATACAATTTTGAACTGATTTTAAGAAACGTGATGATTTCTCACATGATCCCGCTCTGGGCATCTACTATAAAGCATCAATAGTCAAAAGCCTGATATTGGATATTCATTTTTCATAAAACTTGGATTGTGATTTCCCATCCCCTTTTCATGGGTTATCAAACGCCCACTGCCTGTGACATACAATTTAAAAGAGCGGTCAGTTCTAAAAGGTGTAATTGCATTTATTGAAGTTGCTTTATAAACAATTAACATATGCTTCTATTTCTTAGTAATTATATATTTCTGTAAGGTTACTCTTGTGTGCATGATAGGAGGGGGAAAAAGATAATTCAAACTACTCAACATTTATTTATCGTGTCCTAAGTGTACAGTGAGAAATACGATTAAAATTTTCTGCATGCTATTGGATTAGTATTTCTGAAGATGGGATCGGACATCTGCTTTTTAAAAAGCTACCCAGTGTTTCTGATGTCCAGTTACCACTGAGAACTACTGGCTTTTAGGATAAATTCCAAACCATCACGCACAGCTGGTAAGCATGTTCTCAATCTGGCTCCAATCCACCTTTCCAGTTCTGCATCTTCCTGTTTTCCTCCCTCTGCACACCAGCTAATCAAACTCTTCTGGCGGTTACCCGAGGAACCGCCTTCTAAAGGGATTTTACCTGTTGCCAGAAAAGTCCTAAAGAATTAGGATTTCATTCACCACTAAGAACTTACAAGCTGCAGAGACAGTGGTCAGGCAAAGAAAACACTATGAGTTGTACTTTGTAAACTTTAAAAAAATGTTTCCAGCGTGAATTATTGCACACTCTAGCTCAAATAGCCATTTTTTATACGCCTTTCAGTTTTTGATTATGAAACTTCAATTACCCTTCCCACACACCAAATGAAAACACCCAAATGGGACAGTACCTAAAACAAAACAAAACAAAAAACATAAAAACCCCGCCACACAACAACACGAACATTATTAGCCCAGACCAGTTCAGCGAGTTTCCTGGGGTCCCTAAGGCTCACCGCTAAGCACACTGGTCCCCCCCAGCCTCCCGCCCGTTAACGGAGCCTCCGAGGGAAACCCGGGAAGCGCATCCCCGGCGGGGCGGGGCGGGGCGGGGCGGCGGGGGCAGCGAGGCCGTAGGTGGGCGGTACCTGTCGTCGAGGTTAGTCCCCGGGCCCGGAGCCGGTGAGGGGATGGACGGCCTCGCCCGTCGTCTCCGGGACGGTAGCTGCCGCGGGCCACTCCCAGGCTTTCCCCCGCTCTGCCTCCGCGGAGGGAGGTGCGGTCCGGGACAGAGCCGCCTCCACGAGCTGGGAGAGCCGCAGCCGCCCGCTCCGCGCCGGCGTGGCGTTCCCCTGGCAACCGGAGGCGCTTCCGGCTCCGCGGCCGCGCTTCCCCCGGGTCACGGCGAGGCTGCGCCGTCCCCGCGCTGAGCGTCGGGAAGAGCTCGCGGAAAGGCCTCAGGGAGGCGCGCCGTCCCGTGGGGCGTCATGGGAGTTGTAGGCGCGCACAGCCTGTTGGGAAGTGCGTGGCTCCTGTGGTAACTGAGGACATTGCTTCTCCTCTCCGCCCCCGCCACGCCCCGGTGTTGGGGGAATCTCAGCGCCCGGGGCGGGCTGTGCGGGCGGCGGGCTGTGTGGGCGACGTTCTGGACGCAGAGGAGTCTGGGCCGTTGCCGGGCACACGAACCCAGCGTGGTGGCAACGACCATTGGACGCACTGTGTGCGGGGCCCGCTGCCCAGAGCACCCACCCTCTTCTGGGCTCTGATAGGCCTCGGACCCTGGGTGCTGAATGTAGGTTGGGAGAGATGAACTCACAGGTATTGTTCCGCCAAAGAAGAATGCCTGCATCCTGGCTTCACAGCTGTCTGATGTGCAGAGATTTCCAGGAGGCATAATCCGTGAGGGGATTACAGTCCCCGGAATCAACCCAGCAGGTGGTCAGAAAAACATTAGTAGTCTCAGTGCTTCAGTTAGCCACCTTAAATTTGCAACTGTGATTTTATAGTGACAAAATGATCCTCCAATTGAAAATATTTTGACACTAAGGGCCCAATGCACGAAATTAGTGCATGGGAGTGGGATTCCCTCAGCCCAGCCTGCGCCTTCTCAAATCTGGAGTCCCTTGGGGGATGCCAGACGGCTTGGTTTAGGCCCAGTCCCACAGGGCTTGGACATCTCAAAATCTGGTGTTGCTGGCTTCTAACCATCCACCTGCCTGCCTGCCTGATTGTCCCTAACTGCCCTCCCCTGCCAACCTTATCTCACCACCAAGTGCCCTCCCCTGCCAGCCTAATCTTGCCCCCAACTGCCCTTCCCTGCCGGCCTGATTGCCCCTAACTGCCTCTGCCTCTGCCCCACCACCATGGCTTTATCTGGAAGAAAGTTGGACATCCGGAAGATGGCTGGTCACTCAGTCTAATTAGCATGTTACCATTTTAATAGTATAAATAGATTATATAGAATAGGATTGCTTAAATTGTGCTGGGAGCCTTTTTCAGCAGGAGATGTTCTTGGCAGACAAAAACACATTATCCCTATATCTGTACTGATAGGCAGCCATATGCACTATACTACCAAACCACTTTTTTTACCTCTTACACAAAATAGCTGTTGCCCTTAAAACCCCTACTCAGATCCCCCACCTTAGGGTCTGCCTTTGCAGTTCATCCAGATTAAGTTCTGATTGGTCAGTTTCTATGCCAGTCAGTGTCAAAAGCTCCGCCTCCTAGGCAGCCTTGGCAACTTGCACTTCACCCATATTTGGTTCTGATTGGTTTCTATGCCAGTCAGTGTCAAAAGTTCCGCCTCAAAAAAACAAAACAAAACAAAACAAAACAAAACAAAAGTTCCGCCTCCTAGGCAGCCATTGGCTCCTGGCACTTCACCCAGATTTTATTCTGTTTGGTCGGTTTCTATGCCAGTCAGAATCTCAGGGCCTTTCTCTGTGCCTGATCAAATGGCAGGGCTGATCAGCAGCCCCAGAGGAAGCACAACTGCTGGTGAAACTGGGACGGAGGTAACAGCTGATAACAGCTGCCATGGAGGCAGGGGATTAGACCTTGCCTCTCTCTTTACAGGCCTCTCCTGAGCCTGATCCACAGTCCCCGTGGCAGTCAGTGTTGGGTGGGTCTCTGGGCTGGCACTAGCTGCATTCAGTGCTTGGTTGAGACTCAGTTGTTACAGAACCTGAGTCTTTAAACAGGATGTCTGACTGCCCGTTTAGTGGGGTTGGGCCTAAATGGGCAGTCGGATATCCCTCTCACAATCCAGGACTGCTGGCTCTCAACTGCTTGCCTGCCTGCCTTCCTGATTGCCCCTAACCACTTCTGCCTGACAGCCTGAGCACTCCTAATCACTCCCCTGCCAGCCTGATTGATGCCTAACTGCTCCTCCCCTGTAGGCCTGGTCACCCCTAACTGCCCTCCCCTACAGGCCTGGTCCCCCACAACTGCTCTCCCCTGCAGACCTGGGTCCCTCCCAACTTCCCTCCCCTGCAGGCTTGATCACCCCCAATTGCTCTCCCATGGCTGCCGCCATTTCTATTTGGATTTGTTTATCTTTTATAATTGAAACTTTGTAGCCTTGAGTGGAGGCCTAGGCCAGCAAGGGCAGGCAGAAAGCTTGGCTTCCTCCATTGCCTGGGAAACCCAAGCCTCTCTCCTGCTCTCTGTGGCTGTAGCCATCTTGGTAGGGTTTAATTGCATATTCACTCCTGATTGGTTGGTGGGTGTGTCTTATGGGTGTAGCGGAGTGGTTAATTTGTATATTACCCTTTTATTAGATAGGACTAGATGCCCTTTGCAGGAAGATTCCTGCAATAGGGCTTCCTGCTGTGATCTCCACTGACCTGCCAGCTATTCCCCCTTCTCCCTGCCCCCACCCACTTCCCTGCCTTCTTCGCAGTCCTGCTTGCTTGCTTCTCTGCAGCTTGGATTCTTTCTACACTGTCTTCAGTCTTCACTCTGGCCTGGATATACAAATTAACCTCCATCTTGGATGGGTTAATTTGCATACCCACCCTAATTGGCTGGTGGGCGTGGCTTGTGGGTATAGTGAAGGTACGGTCAATTTGCATGTTTCTCTTTTATTAGAGAGGATAGGATCTTTAACTATGGTGGTTCTTTCCTGTTTGGATTTGTTATATTCTGCCCCTAGTTTGAATTCCAGTTTTGGTTAGGAAAAGGTTAACTGGAGAACACAAGGCTTGAGCTTTACAAAGTCTAACAAATGTCAAAAGGAAAGCTCGTTCTATAAGCCTAAGCCTTGCACAAACATGCTCCCCTTGAGTGATTATTTTACAGAAATGCCTGAAGGCCATAATTCCTTACAGCCCCCCGAAGGAAGGATCTGGCAGGACAGAGGGCAAGACTGTAAAACTATAGGCCTGATAGGAGTGTCAAGCTGAAGCCCTGTCTGCAGCTCTCTCCGAGTGCTTAAAAATCCTGCTCCCTCTCCAATTCATCCCTGGCTCTTTCTCAAGTCAGTCCGCCCACACCTAGCTGACATGAATAAAAATCACTTTGATTACACTGAGCCTTGAGTCCGTTCTGTGTGACCCCGGCCCAACCCTGAACCTTTCAGTTAGTATAAAAAATTTGGTGAAAATTAGTGTGGATGAAAGGAGCCACATGCTAACCTGACAAGCTCAGGGGAGGCAAATTCAGAGACCTCTGACCTGGTCTCAGAATAACCACAAAAGATGGTCTGAAATTAAACTTTAACTAAAAGCAGTTATGGTGGGCAGTTAATGTCCTAGGCCAGTATCTTCTCTGACAAGGTCAACCTTTACCTTAACTGAGCCTATCTGTCTCTTTGCATCTATGATAACATACCCTTGAAGCATCTGGGTAACTTGTAACTTCCCTTTTTCTGGATCCCTCGGGCACAACCAAAGTACTGGGTGCCAGGACAGATACCACAAATTCCTTCATTATCATGTTAACTAAAGGCATGGTGCACAAAATTTGTGCAAGGTGTGTGTGTATGTGTGTGTCCCTCAGCCCAGCCTGCACCCTCTCCAATGTGATGCCCCTCGAGGGATGTCCGAGTGCCAGACAGTTGGACATCCCTCTTACAATCCAGGACTGCTGGCTCTCAACCGCTCACCTGCCTCTTTCCTGATTGCCCCTAACCACTCCTGCCAGCGTGATTGACACCTAACTGCTCCCCTGCTTGCCCGGTCACCCCTAACTGCTGTCCCCTGCTGGCCTGGTTGCCCCTAACTGCCCTCCCCTGCTGCCTGGTTGCTCTTGCCCTCCCATGCAGGCCTGATCCCCCACAAACTGCCCTCCCCTGCAGGCCTGGTCACCCCTAACTGCTGTCCCCTTAACTGCCATCCCTTGCCAGCCTGATCGCCCCCAACTGTCATCTCTTTTAGGCCTGGTTTCTCCCAACTGCCTTCCCCTACAGGCCTAATCTCTTACAACTGCCCTCCCCTGCCGGCCATCTTGTGTCCATATGGGGGTGGCCATCTTGTGTGTTGGAGTGATGGTCAATTTGCATATTACCTCTTTATTATATAGGATTGTTCCTGCACCCACCTAAGTTTGTGTCCATCATTTTACTTTTTATCCAATCCCAGGGGTCATTCTCTATCCCCCCTTTCCCGCTCCCTCCGGCTTTGCTTTCTCCTGCCTCTCTAATCTATCACCAGTGAATTTCATGTAACCCACCTATGTCCCTTCTTTGATTGCAATGTATAAGTACAGATGTAACCTGCCATTCTTCGGAGCATTATCTCAATTCGTTGAGGTTCTCCTTCCCGGCAAATGTCCACAGTTTGGCTCAAAAATTCTTTACAGGTTTCAATGGTTTTTTAGTTAACACTAGAAATATAATGGGGAGATTGAATATCTAACTTTTCAGTAAATTTAGGCAGATATGTAATTATTTTACCAAAAAATTAGCTAAATAAACAATAAGTTGATGTGATAGCTTATGATTAGAGATGAAATAGCTGTAGTTTACTCAATATTCTAGAAAATGCTAGTTTTGAAAATATCAATTAAAAAATATTTCATATGTTGAATCTGTTGTTTGGTGCTTTGCCAACTGAAACAGCTTTCAAGAGTACACTCAAGGCTCAGCATAAAAATTGTTCCAACTTGATTTAAGAAGTTAGTTTGGCTCTCCTCATTTTGTTAGATGAAGCATTAAAAAAAAAATGGTATATGATTTTCTAAAAGCTACTTAAAATGCCAGGATAAGTGAAGAAAATTTCAGGTACTTTTATTACGAGTTTAAAATTCATACCAGCTTTTGGAACTGTAGTAGAATTATAAAAGAGGTAAGAGTGAGAGATGATGAATACAATCCTATTCTGATTAATTATGATACTTTACATGTATTTTCTTATCAGTAACTTTTAAAATAATATAGAAATCCTGATTTGTAGTTTAATGGAAGTTTTGGAATGA